TTGTACTCTGGGTGGATAATTGTTCTGCTCAAAATAAAAACTGGACATTTTTTTCCTTTCTAATTTATATAATAAATTCTGATGATATCAATGCAGACAAGATTATTATAAAATACTTTGAAACCGGGCACACGTTTATGTCTGCAGACTCTTTTCACCATAGAGTAGAACTGGCGATGAAACGGATGAAAAATAAAATATATGACTTTGATGATTTTTGCAAAGCTGTAAGTAGTGCTGGTAAAAATGTGAATACCAAAAAAATGACGTTAGATGATTTCTATGAGTGGCAAGACTACACGACCCAATACAAACTTTCCCGGCTGTCACCACGACCTTACATTAGTGACATTGTTGAAGTGGAAGTTAGCAGAGGCAGTTTTGATATTAGCTACAGAACTAGTTTCGATAATGAACCCATTACGGCAAGCATTATAGGTGCAAAGTTCTTAAAATTAGAGAAACTTCCACCCCCAACTAAAAAAATAGTACCTGCAGGAATTTCTCAAACAAAAAAAATAAATCTTTTAAAATCTTTTTCCAGTTTAATACCTGCTAATAGGATGTCTTTTTGGCGAGGACTGCCAACTTTTGATTAATTTAATTTCATAGAAAGCAAATAATGGCTTTAATTTTTTTTTTGTAATTTGCTGCTACGGTCAATAAAGTAATTAAAAAAAAAATTAAATGAATTTTTATTATAAACTAATAAGGTATTTTTATCAAATATAAAAATTTGACTTTGTTTATGGGATACTCTATGAGCAGATTAAGGCTAAAAGCTAAGCTAAAAGCAGTATCTCAATTTTTGACACTGTTATTTTTAATCAAAATAGCGGTATCTCAGAAAATAGGTATAATGGTACAAGTTATGGATAATTTGGGTATGTCAATAAATCTATAAGGCAAATTTACGTATAAATAAGTGTTAGCATCTTTAGAAATATTTGTTTTTGAAGGTGCGAAAATACAATTTACAAAAAGTCGATTTTCTCAAAACTTACTCCGATTGAGGTAGCGCTTTTCGGCTTATCAGGGCAGTATGGTCGGATTTAACTTTAAATAATTTAACATTTAGCGCGTTATGCGAATATAGCAGTTAATCTCATGTGTAATTAGAAACGTGGTTTATACAAAAAACCTCCTTCTTTCTTATCTTGTAAATATTACTATATACTTAAGGTGCCCATAAACGGGACAATTATCGTAACGATTCGTCGTTTGATGTTAAAATCGAACGACGGATTGTACGTGTGTGGCAATATCGCATCCAATTTTCTGGTCGAACGATCGATTGGAGATCGCAACAGGCAACCCCGAAAATATCGATTGCGATCTGAACATCGTTCGATATATCGCACGTGTATGGCGTGATCGGATACGATCTTCGTCAGTATGCGTCTATCTTTCGCGCGAGAAGCACGTACGGTGCCTGTAAATTTTTTGCGATGTCGTGGAGCAAGGATTTCCTGTTGGAATTTATTGAGTTACTTCGGGAACAAGAGGTTTTATGGAAAATAAAACACAAGGACTACCATAATCAAATTAAGCGAACTGGATGTTATGAGATATTACTAAGAAAAATGAAAGAAGTAGATCCCAGTGCAGACATAGGTAAAGTTCAAAAGAAAATTAACAACCTGCGTACTGTTTTCCGTAAGGAACTTAAAAAAGTGGAGTCTTCTCGTGCATCAGGAAGTGGTACTGATAATATTTATGTGCCAAAGTTGCAGTACTATGAAAACATGATGTTTTTAAAAGAATAAGAGCAGCTATATGGAGCGACAAGTAGTTCAATGGATACAGTAAGTGCACAATATTTATTATTTTTATATATTTATTATTTTTTAATATATATTTTACATTTTTTTATACTTCACTTATACCTACTACATAAAATGCTATAAACGAATTTGATATACCTATTCATAAGATTCTAGTATTTGCAGCGCTCGTATTGGAGCGTCACTGTTTTTCCTACAACTACAGTGTTGTAAATCTGTGCCTACGCGTTCTAACCTTAATATGAACTCAATGATCTACAGGGTGTAATTAAAAGCTTCCTGGAAAATTCCAGGGGTCAATGTACTCATGTATACGAACAACTTTTACAATGGGACCAACTCTGAAATTGCGAATAAATTATCAGCTGTTCCATACTAAAATTTAAATACCTACGAAACAAAATGTATGGAACAGCTGATTTTTTTTCGCGGTTTCAGGGTTGGTCTCATAGTAAGAGTTGTTCATATACATGAGCATATTGACCCCTGACATTTTCCAGGGAAGCTTTTAATTACCCCCTGTATATGTCCATACATATAAATTAATTTTTACATTTATTACTTTTAAAATTATTAATAAAGCCCTATGAAGTTATTCTGCCAAGGTACAGATCCAACATTATTAAAATAGTCTACAAATAATTCTCTTACACGATTACCAGTATCGTTACCACGTAATGGTCGCCTTCTGAGTCCTAATAAATCACACTGGAGGCCTTCTTCAAACTCATTATTTTCAAAGTTCTCTGTATCGAATACATTTAATATAGGTGTTAGGACTATTACGACGTAAATAATTATGCAGAGCACAGCAAGCCATTACTATTTTATTTATGTTGTCTAAATCCATGTTAATTTCTGTTTTTAATATACCAAACCTGGCAACTATTCTATTCTTCTTCTTGATCTAGATAAACGGTAATTAAAAATTCTCCTTTGAAAGTTTAGTTGTTTTTTATTAAAAGGTTTCATAAAATTATACCTTAACGTAAAGGCTTCGTCGCCTACGAAAACATAAGGCAAAGTCTTACCATTTACTATGGTAGGATTTGGTAAGCTTAAAGAATTATTTAAGAGGTTTTTGGAGAAGTCCGTTTCATTTATAACACCGCCATCCGAGACTCTGCCGTTTGTACCAAAATGAAAATAAATGAACTCATAATTGGCGTTAGCAATGGCCATTAGGACTTGACTATGAAAATGTTTATAATTATAAAAATAAGATCCAGCTCCTGGAGGTGGTCTTATTCTTATATGTTTCCCGTCGACAGCGCCCAAACAGTTAGGAAAATCCCATCTATTTTCGAAGTTTTTCCCAATTTCAATCCATTCGTTCTCGCTTGTTGGAAACTGCAACAAATAAATAATCGTTTTTTATACATTGTTTCAGCAATCTGATGACGAGAGTACTGAAACCACCATAGATGAAGTCGCTTCACCAAGATCAGATATCACATCAGTTGAAAGGTTTAGTGAGCCCCAACAATGCCGTACTTTAAACGCCAGAAAAACCTGCCAGCTTCCCAACATATTGATCAAACGCTTGAAACTATAGGCAATAAAATATCTGAAATAAAAGCGGATGACAAGTACGATGCCTTCGGTAAAAACGTGGCACATAAGTTGCGATCTTTGCCTACAAGTCAACGCTTATTTGTGGAAAAAATAATAAACGATGCTTTGTTTGAGGCCGAAATGGGTAATTTTAGCAGATAGTGTTTTCTACACCTTCCCACTCAATCCTTTCCTACATATCCATCACAAAAATTTCAACCGCTCTCTTCACAAGTATACAATTTTCAAGCACGTGAGCCATTCATACTACAGCCGCCCACACAAACAATACTTCATAAAACTCGACCATCCATACAACAAGACCTGAACTTTCATCACCAACCACGTGAGCCATTCATACTTCAGCCACCCACACAAGCAATAGCCACTCATACAACTCAACCATCCACACAACCAGAACTCAACTTTCATACACGCGAGCCGGAAGAAGAATCTCCAGTCCATGTTCACATACCAAATGACGCGCAAACATTTTATAGTAATTTTTCTGTTGAGTGAAAGTAATTTTAGCTTTTGTGAAAGACACGATACGTTATGATGTAAGATGTGAAACAATAATTTGTCGTTAATATAATGTTTTAAATATACCTATTATTTTTCTTTATACCTACTTATTATCACCAACAGCGTATAATAATCAACTACTATGGTAAATTATACTTGCCTTACAGTAATCCTTTAATGCATTGAAAATGGCTTCGCATGTTTCTGGAATGATCTTTCCCAACGACTGTGGTGAAATCAACGTTGTAAATTTTAAATCTTCGTAAGTCCTTCCAGTAGCCAGGAAACGCAGTGTTGCAGTTAGACGTTCGTGAGGAGTAATAGCTTGCCTCATATTGGTATCATTTTTTTTTATTCTGGAAGATACTTTGTGCAATAGCTCTAAATATGTTTCCTCTGTCATCCTCAAGAAGATTGATGTGAGAATATTGATGTCTTTTCAGAAGCCATCTTTTAGTCCATTCTCTCCTAGTCTTCCTTTTATTAATTGTAGAAAGTTTAATTAAATTAAAACATATAATTAATATGTTTTAATTTAATCTAATTTCTATTAATAATTAATAATAAATTAAACTTAATAAACAAATTCATTCAATAAAATAATTTGTAAAACTTAATGTAGCGTAAATTGGAATGTTTTCTTTGTAAAATTAAAAATAAAAGGTATTTAATTAATAACTATTGTAACCACGGCCGGTAATCTACCTATAGAAAACCGCTCGCAATAGCGGCCATCTTTTTTAATGAATAATGACATTTGTCATTTTTGTTTCCTTGCTGTGATTGGCTGCTGCAGGCGCAGGTAGCCTTTCCGCCATCTTGGGTAGTGATCGTGGTATTTTACACTTTGTTATTGTTTTGTTAGTCACCTTGTAGTGGCTTGTAGCTTGTTTGTACAGGTTCGGATCGAGTGAAGACGTGACGTGCTTATCCTCTCCGTTAATTCTGTATTGTGTGTTTGTATTTTGTTTCATACAAAATGTACGAGTGCTGTGTATGTAAAAGTTCACGACAGGACGCTATTTTACATCATTTTCCTCGCACTGAGAAAAGACTCATGAAGTGGTTAAAGTGTCTAAATCGTGATAATCTGAAAAAGTTATCACCAGAAGAACTTTCAAACGTTTTTTGTATGTCAAAAACACTTTGAAAAGAGGTTTATTACGCCGAAATTACGTCTCATAGGCAGTGCATATCCATCTTTGTTTACCGAAGACGAGATTTCCTCTGGAATACCATCACAGGACAATGCCGGTAAGTTTTAAGTACAGACTTTACTATAGCCTTCTAATCGCTACGTCCTAACAGACTTTTAATATAAACTTAGCCCGTAGTTGCTTTGTAGAAATAAAATATTAATAACTATAACCGTCATCTAAGAAACAAATTCGCAATTGCCGACGTTGGTGTATCCAGCGTTAATAACTTATAACAATTTAAGTACTTACTTAATTTTAAAACTAAAGAAATAGTATTGAGTTTTGAATTCTTTGTTTATACCTGCATGTGTTAGTGTTTATACCCGGATGTGTCCTAGTTCGAAGGAATAACTTTTAATGTTATTAATATTAATTGTTTTATTTATTTTGCACTTACAGAAAACATGGATATTGATTTGGAGCATAGTTACTCGCGTAAAAGACACTTTGACCACACATACTTTCAAAGGGAACCACTAAAAGGTTAGTAATGCAGTTTGTATTACTGTAACATTGTCTAGTAAAACTGTTGAAATGGATTTATTGCATGTAAATTTATATTCTGACATATTGGCCCCTTTACTGGTTCGATATTATAGTATGCGATAATATAGTATACATAATGCTTGTTACGAATAAATAACAAGTTATTATTTTCAACTATCACCTATCACATTTATTCAACTCTCACTCATAAACACACAGAATACCAAAATACCTACAGGAGAGACTTGCATAAAATTATAGTGTGTAATTTCTCACGTTTCAGAAGTAATTGCCTCTAGCTCCAGTGAGTCTCAGAATGTGTCTGGCCCATCGCAAATTCCACCGCCTAAACAGGACTTAGGTAATGGAATTTTTTTGTTGGACTCAAGTTATAAGGGATAGTTAAGGTTTTAACGGTGTGTCAACTTTTCATTTTTTACACAATTCTGAAGCAACTTGTACTTATAGACCATCAGTGAGTGTGGACAAATGGTGCTACAATCCCTCCCACAATACCTCGTTTATTGTAGATGTTAATTATGTATGTTTATTGTGATCTATTTTATAAACATCATCTATCTGTTTTATATGATGGAAACATCTTGTTTCTCAACAGTACCTAATTATTTTTCAGTTAATCCTGTAATCATTGAACCAGTGATGAATGAAGCATTTCAAGCCTCTGGTAAGTAATTTTGAGTTATTATTGTTGTATTATTACCACATGAATATGTTTGCAATGAACCTTTATTTACTCCATGCTGGATATGCAGAGGTCCTGAGTTTGTTCCCAGTTCAGACATTAATTTTCTTTGTCTAATAACCTTATGTATAGTCGAAAATAAATGTTTGGTTTTTCTCTTTGCAACTGCTCATTCAACAAACTTGTAACATACAACATAATATGTAAGTGTGCAGCTGCATATTGTTATAATGTTTTACATTCCATAGTACTTGACTTCATCATTCACTTTTGTGTTTTCCAGTCTTGGATACAGTCAGAATTGCTAAGGATCCGAAACCTATGAGAAGACGTTTAATCACGAAAGCAAAAGATTTGTCACCAACATGCAAAAGTATTTATAAAGAATACAAAAAGTCTAAACAGCAGGCCGATTTTCTTCGAAGAGCTAAGAGAGCCCTTCAGTTTAACAAGAAAATGTCGTTCGAAAAATTAACAAATAAAATGAATCCTTATATTGAGTTGTTTTATTTATTTTATTTTATCGTATTATTTTATATAAATGAACTGGAACCCCTAACCAATTTTTTTTTTTTTAAGTCTGGATGAATACGTTCTGCTCCTTTGCAAGACAATATCGTCTACCTATTAAAAAAAAAATGGAATGTCAGTCGACATTAGTATCACAGATTAAAAATAATTCTTACTACTGAAAAAAAAGTACTACAGTGCGCAGTCTGAACGTAGTTCACTAAGTAGTCTGTGATTGTAACTATAGTGAAAAAATAGGGTGGTTTGCATCAATATTAGACATAACTGGTTGAAGACTGTACCACCTCAGTCAACCGTGACCATGGGACCTGTAAAGGGCCCGAAACGTCGGTTTGTTTGAATAAACAAATATACGCGATTTAAATCCGGAAAAATAGTTTCATTCCTATGTAGAAAGTTTTTTTTTACACAAAATGAGCGCCAATGCGCTTAAACAAAGTAGTTGCGACTCCATCGCTCACCCGCATACGATACGTGCAACACGTTTTCTCTCCGCACAGAGACTGAGAATAGTTCGATCACATCGTTCGTGTGTGACCGGACGGAAATCGTACGATTAATAGAACGATTTTCTTGACGATCGATCGAAACGACAAATCGTTCCATGTATGGGCCGCTTTAGATAGTGTTCACATGTGGGAAATGAATGTGATACTTTTGTGATATGACCCATTGATGTTCAGCCGTTTAAATAGCATGGTGTAAGGAACGTACGTGTAAATACAGTATTAGAACATTGGCCAGTGGAAACCAACTTTACCAAAGTGCTTTAACATTTAACCGGGTACGATACCAAAGAGGATCTAATACGATACCTTGTGCCGGCAATTACAAAACACCTACAGTTTTAATTTCTTGTTTTATACTTTGACTTGACAATGTCGTGTGATTCCACGCTCGAAAAGTTTTGCGGCTCCGCTTTTTGGGTAAGTAGGCCTTTGTTCCTTTCGTGAAAGTTTTATGTTAATATAAAAGTATACATTTACAACATTTATCGTGTTGTAAATAACTAAGTTAATCATTACAAATCTTTAATTACTCCTACAAAAATAATCATAATACTCATATAACATACAACTAACAATAGTAAAAATATTGTTGTTGTAAATAATAAAATTTTGTTGCTCAAACTGTAGAGAAAATTAGTCATCAGGTCAATGGTCATCATCATTTTCATCATATTGCGCCATACTTTTACATATAAAGCAAGTAATAACAAAGTGTTTATTTTGTCTAATCTATCGAAAACAAGCATTTAAAACAATTTGTAACAGAATTTTTAAGAAATTAATAGAGTTTTTGAAGTTCCATATTGAATGAAAAAATTTTCTGTTTTCTCAAACCTATATTCATCTGTTGGTAGGACAACAATTTTTATTATGAAAACTAATCCTAAAATTGACTTAGTAGTCTGCTACTAACTATGTAGTCTATTCACCATATTAATTATTCAACTCTCAACTCGAGTGTTGGTATTGTACAGTTGAGCCATATATACATGTTTTTTAATGTGTAATTTATCCAAAACAAGCAGTGGCTCCTGGTCGTGTTCCATACGAAGAAATTATTTGTAACGTTGACGTTGCCAAGACATTTCGTCAATATTGCGTTCAAATAAACAGCCCAGACCGAATCTTACTCGAGATGAATATAACGTGCTGAAGACCTTCCGCGAAGATCCTGAATTAGTCATCCTCCGTGCAGATAAAGGTAACGCGACGGTGGTCATGAATACGTCTGATTATAACAGCAAAATAACTGACTTACTATCGGATGAAAGCATGTATAAAAAGGTGAAGAAAGACCCTACCACCAAGATATTAAAAACAACAACTAACTTAATATCTAAGCACTCCGATATGCTGAAACTTGATGTTAGTGAGTTTGTACCCTGCTGCGTAAAACCGCCAAACTGTATGGGTTACTAAAAATACATAAGGCTGACACCCCACTCCATCCCATAGTTAGCCAGATTGAAACACCAACCTACAAACTGGCTCAACACGTGGCAAAGGTACTGTCACCATTGAGAGGGAACACTTCTACACATGTGAAGGATTTATACCATTTCATCAGTGGAATGAAAGATCTACGGTTAACTGATGATGATACCATGGTCAGTTTTGATGTTCAGTCGCGGTTTACCAACCTACCAGTAAAAGACTGCATTGAAATTGTACATAGAAAGCTAAGGGAACATAATATGTCCATTGAATATGTAGAATTATTAGAACACTGCCTAACATCAGGCTATCTATTGTGGAATAATGTATTCTACCTACAAATTGACGGTATAGCGATGGGCTCCCCGGTATCTCCTAACGGGCTGGTGTCCGCAACTCGACGTCAAGGCGCCTATTTTGCGTGTGGTGGGTGCAGGGTCCTACTCGTGCCACCCAAGCTCCTCCAGGAATCTCAGCAGCCTCCTCGGTTTGCTGAAGACTTCGGGGAGCGACCTTGGCACTCCAAGGTACTTTGCCCTGTAGTTGACCACGCCAGAGCACTGTAGTAGGATGTGCACAGTCGTTTCCTCCCCCTTTATGCAGAGCATGCTGTCTGTGATACCTGAATTGAAAAGGTGTTTATTGTATGGACCATGACCTGTTAGGGCGGCAGTTAGAGTGCGAAGCTCTTGCCCGTTGAGTTTAATTAATATGCGTGATAGACTGGCATTGAGCGTTGGGAGTGCTTCCCTCGCCTGTCTACAAACCGTTAGGGTGGTCCATGTATTATTATGTGAAGTTTTTGTACCTTTGTGTATAGTTGTTCTGGACCAATGGTAGGGGAGGGACACTATGGGTTCTGGTCCTACTGCGTCTGTCTCCGACCCTTTTCTGGCTAGTTCATCTGCTGCGTCATTGACACGTGAGCCGCTGTGTCCTTTAATCCACTGTAGAGTTAAGTGGTTTTGTATACATACGTCCATGAGTGCTTGATGGCATTCATAAATGAGCCCTGAGTTTATGTCATAGCTGTTCAGTGCTTGAAGCACTGACATACTATCAGAGAGTATTCGAATGGAGTGGTTCTTTACTCTTCTCGCTATGATTGCTTCTGCCGCCAACTTGATGCCCATGCGTTCAGCCTGGAATACTGTGTTGTGGTCACCAAGCGGTGTTGATATCCTGATATTGAGGTCTTCTGAGAATACCCCAGTACCTGTTCCTGAATTTGTTTCAGATCCATCAGTGAAGACGCGGTTCTCTGGGGTTCAGTCCTTCATTTGGATCTTCAAACAATTGTATCTTGTATTTTTTTGTCGAATATGTATTGTTTTGGGATCCTATCCACAGCCGCCTCCAGTAGCGGTTCCTCATTGACTGTCTTATAAAGGATTTCTGTATGTGGAGTCCTCATGTGCTTCCAAAGGCCGGTTCTGTTTAGACGCACAGCTGTTGACGCCGCTTCCTGTCTGATGAACATTGGGAGGGGTCGCAAGTCCAACATCGCTTCGAGGGCCGCAGTCGGAGTTGTCCTCATGCAGCCGGTCGTTGCCATGCAAGCGAGTCTTTGGAATTTTTCCAGCTTGTCGGTTGCGGTCGTCAGTTTGGTTCGTGGCCACCATACTATCGCGCCGTAACTGATCATGGGTCTTATCACCGCTGTGTAGAGCCATAGTGTTATTTTGGGTGAGAGTCCCCATTGTTTACCTACCATTCTATGGCACTGCCAGAAGGTGATAGTGGCTTTTTTAATTTTGTTGTCCAGATGCTTGTTCCAATTCAACTTGTTGTCCAGTATTACTCCCAAGTACTTGACTTCGGTTGATATCTGTAGTTCTGTACTGAAGAGTTTGGGTAGTAGGTAGTTACCCAGTAGTCTTTTGTTTGTAAACATTACTAGTTCCGTCTTTGTTGGGTTTACCGATAGTTCATATGCCCTTCACCATCTTTCCACAATCCGGAGTGCAGCTTGTGTAATGTCGCAGAGTACATTGGCATAATTTCCTGTTACCAGTATAGCTATGTCATCAGCATATCCTACTGTATAGAAATGTTTTTTGTTCAGTTTAATGATGAGGTCATTTACGACCATGTTCCACAGCAGAGGCGACAGTACCCCTCCTTGAGGGCATCCCTTCGCTACTATGGTCCATGGGGTCTTATTTGCTGTTGTTTTTATTGTTCTTAATTTTAGCTTGTTGCTAATCCAGCTGATGAGCACTTCATCCACTTCGTGCCTCCTCAGTGCTGATTGTATGCTGGAGAAGTTGGTTTTGTCGAAGGATCCTTCAATGTCGATAAAGGTGCCTAGACAGATTGCTTTGTCTTTGAGGGCCACTTCTATCTTGCCCACAACGGCATGCAGGGCCGATTCAGTGGATTTGCCTTGACTGTATGCATGTTGGTTTCCGTGTCGTGGTATGTTCTTAAGCGCTCCATCCCTCAGTTCTCTGTCACGTAACCTTTCTAATGTTTTCAAAAAGAAAGATGTGAGGCTGATTGGTCTGAAGGACTTCGCGTCAGTGTAGTCGTTTTTACCTGGTTTCGGTATAAATATGACTTTTACCTCTCGCCAGCTGTAGGGCACATAGCTGAATGCTAGACAGGCCTGAAAGATGTTGACCAGATGCTGGACCAGTGTGTCCTCGCCCCATTGTAGGAGTGCGGGCTTTGTACGGTTCAAAGATGTTTACTGCCCATTTTGTCTTTTCGTATGTTACTACTTGTTCAGCGTATCGCCAGTTATGGGTCGATGTATTGTAGTTCATTTCTTCGCACCTTTCGTCTTGGACGAACCTACATCCTGGGAAATGTGCTTCCAGTAGGGTTCTCTCCGTGTCCGCAGGGGAAGTTGTGTATGTGTTGTCTATTTTGCGTATTGAACCTAGCTCAGTTGAATTTGAGTTGCCTAGGATTTTCCTTATTTTGTTCGCTTGTGCACAAGACGTGATGTTCCCGCAGTAGCCTCGCCATGACGCGGTGCTCCTGAATCGTATGCGCTTTTTAGCTTGGATTTGGCCGTCTTGTAGTTTTCCCATATGTTCATTGCTCTATTGAAGCGTCTCCTTACCCTTGTTCGTAGCCTCTCAAGCTCAGGCCCCCACCAGTGTTGGCCTTGCCGCGGGGCAGATTCACTCGGTGGGCATGCGGAGTTATAGCTGCTCAATATGTTTGATGTCAGTTCTGTAACCTGTGTTTCTATCTGTGCTGTGTCCAGCAGTCTTCCCGGTGCTACCGGTTCCCCAAGGCTCTGGTGTAGTTTGTCAATGTATATTTTACGATCGGTTTTTCGGGGATTCCGTTTCGGTTGTTGTTCTTTGATGGTTGTTTCTAAGTTGAATCTTATCCATCTATGATCCGAGAAGGATGCTTCTTCGGACACGTGTTAGTCTTGGACAAGATTTACAGCTCCTTCGGACGATAGGGTTAGGTCTATAATCGTCCTGCATCTTTTATTTACGAAGGTTGGTACTGTACCTTTATTAAGGATTTGAAGGTTAGTTGTGAATAAGTATTCGGTTCTTACCTCTGCCATTAGCAAGTTCCATGCCCCACAACGGATGGTGGGCATTGGAGTCAGTGGCCACGACGATGTGCTGGCCGCTCTGCTCGCAGTATTTGATTAGCCGTTCCATTTCCTGCGGTGGTGGTACGCAGTCTCCGCCATATAGACAGAGGCGAGCACCACTTCAGGCAGGCCCGTGGCCGTGTCAGCTAAAAGCTTGACGGCACACAGGTCTCTGGAACAGAATTCTGTTAGTGGCTGTACATGTAAATTATTAGAGTAATATATGCAAGTTCGTGGTTTTTCTGAGATGGTAGTTGATATCAGCTTACCTCTCATTTGTGAGAGTCCATTTATTTGGCCGCGGGCGCTGATCCACGGTTCCTGGATCAGTGCCACGGCTGTGTTGTTTGCCTCCAACCATTTCCGGAGTTGAACCGTTGCGGCCTGGCTGTGGTAGAGGTTGCATTGGATGATT